CACATTATTTTTGCCCAGCGACATTTATATGACAACTTGAGACTGCTGGACATACGTGACACGGAGTTAACTAAAGGGCCTAAACAGGAACCTGAAAGCAGTGTTTAAGTAAGAATGGGGTACTGTAATTCTTGAACGTATTTTGATCATACGTATAGTTATCGGTGGGTCGAACGCAAGACTTACATAGTATAGAAAACCGACACACACGGCTAGATACCATCGAGCTGACTTTTATCACCATCCATCCAAAATCACTGATTACTCGATCTCTCAACCGCTTCAATCCACAATAGCTGGAAACGGAGATGAAAAATCTACGTCATCTGTGAGATGGAAACGGATACAGGCTCTGAGAAAAGGCCCGGCCTGCGAGTATACTCGTATTGCTAATCGCGGTCAGCTGGAGCGAAACCGAAAGCCGCAGTCCTCTCATTTACATTGCAATGAACTGTCTGCTAGCAGTAGATACAAACACTGATAAAGTAGATTGCAAAGATAACGTGTTTATTGATCCCTGAATTCATTTGAAAATCGAACTAAATATTACACGGTAGCTGTTCTCTTTTATATTGTACTAGCTGACCCTGCAAACGTTGTTTTGCTTACTTACTTATTTACATATTTTTTTTTAATTTCTTAAAATCCGTTCTTAGTTGACCTCTAATCGGTGAAAAGAATATTCCTACCAAATTTCAAGTCTTTAGCTCTAATGGTTCCAGAGATATCGTGATGAGTCACTATATACGTGGAAATCTCTTATATATACCTATATAGAGATTAACAAGTGACTGACTGAATATAATTAATTTTTGTAGTATAAAATCGCTTTAGATTCTGTGATGGCTAAGCTTATTGTCATTTTTCTATGTACGGGGTGAATATGGCTGTCAATGATAGTTTATTGAGAAAACATATGAATTAGTCGTTTAAGGTCCTTTCTTTAAAACTCAAGAAATTTTGAGTTTAAACGTTCAGGATGTTCAGGAACGTAATGGATCATAAATGCAATAAGAATCTTTGATCATTTGTCAATTAAATATGGTGACTAAATTAATCAATAAAATATTCACTGGAATAGTAAGAGTTCCTACTTCAGGAATGCAAAAAATAATATACTTCACCAAAGAGAAAGTTGAATTTTGTGGGATAATAATCAAAGACATAGTTGTAATTTATTTATTAAAAAACATTGATCCAGCTAGATTTATACGTGTCATATAACTTCTTCAACATAAAATAGAAATATAATACAATACTACATAATATATATGTATATACAGTATGGTAGGCAACCCTGACACTACATTTCATGCTAACGCGATTGTCAGAGGCCGAATTGCAGGAATTAAGGTTGACAAATACGTGTTTTAGATTTGATACAAAATTATGACAGTGTCTTACTCGCAAAGTTGTATCAGTCATAACATGATTGACTTTGGGACATAATGTATCAAAAGGTTATACCTAATAATATATTTTTAGCACAAATATTGTACTTGTTAAATGCAAGTTCCTAGTCCATCGATGTTTAATACATTTTCATATTCATTTCACTAACAAACTTGTGGTGCTCATAACGATATGTTAACTAACATTCATAAATCTACCTATATTGATGTAAGTAAATGTAATTTATAGTTTGACATTTGTTCAATAGATGTACTTAATATCATAGAGATATCGTTGGTGTTACAGTTGGTTACCAGCGACCTCTGACAATAAAATAATACACTAGTCTCATCTCCAATAACAAAAAAAATATTAATAAGTATAAAGTGGTGCTTATTCAATGTGATCGTTACAGCAGTTATTAGGCAATGAGGTTAAGAATAATCTGACAAATTAGAGCTACAAAAATTATTAAAACAGTATAAATGTGGAAATATATTACTGACAACCCTGTTGAAAAGGGTCAACTTAAGCGGAAGGCGGACAATTTTTATTTTTATGGTTCCGTTGAAGAGGAAAAGTATATAAGGGTTACTTTAGGATCACTGCGTCATTAGTACTTTGTATGTGTGTCAAGACACTCAGAAACATGAGAAAGTTCATATTAACACGAAATATAAATTAATGTTTGAGGTTTTTGTTTCTTGATATTCTAATTTATGGTATTAAACGCAATTAAAACGTTTAATTAGCTTCATAGTTTAACATTTTGCCAGTAAAATAATACCTATAGAAACAAGTCACAGCACTTGTAAAGATAACAATCCGCATGTAAACATTTTTTTGCAAGTAACTTATATTTTGCGTTGAAAAATTTACGAGTATCCGTGTAAGAGAGTATTATTAGATCTGGATTAGAAACTTAGGTTTACGTTTGTTAAAAACGTAAATGAGAAAAAAAGGGTACTTAATCATCTTCGAGAATCGTCTCCCGAGATGAACGAACTATCTAAATATAAATTTATGCAGAACCACCAGTGCGCGAATCAGGTCAGACTCGCACTTTTTCGTTATTTTATTTGGTAGAGTAGTGTACCTACTTATTTTAAGTATCATAAATATTTTCCTATTGGTTGTAATGTAAACCTAGCTATTTTAACAGTTACATTTAACAGCTGAAATAAAATAGTTCGTTCTGATATATCAAGATGCTTTCGTTTTCCTTCTTTCTATATTTACAAATGCTACAAAGCCAATCTACGAATAAAAATTCGGTTTTAATTTCATTAATTTTACAGTACAACAATGTAAATGTGCCGATTGCCGATTACTGGATATTATTATATGGTCGTAGCACACCAGCTTTAAGCTTCCCATACATAATAAAACAGTTTAAAAGTCATGTAACACATTCAGTGCTAGGTAAGATATGCATATTTTCTATGAGTACTCGTATATATATTTATATGGCTGGCATTAGCTGGATGCGAGAAGCCCAAAATCGATCTAAGTGGCGTGCAATGGGAGAGACCTATGTCCAACAGTGGACTGCGATAGGCTGATGATGATGATGACTCAAGTTTTACCGAATTTCACTCAAACAAGTATTATTTTTAAAAGTGATCACAAATTTGTCATGTTTCCGAAAGTTTTACTATTAATCGACCGTTGGTTTTATACTATAGAAATTGGCCAAGTAAATCTTATCAACTTTAATTCATTGTTCCGAAAGAAGAGTACCTTTTATAAACAGCACACAAATTCATATATTTATTTCGAAGAAAGAGAATAGATTGTTTGCGTCCTGAGAACGTGTATCGGCTAAGGTTGCGTACATTCAGCTCAGGCTCGTCATCACCTCCGTAGATCACAGTGAGATTTCAATAACGTTCTGATTCAGGCCCGCTTTTTTTACGTTTACAGATTACTCCATTACAAAATGCGATAAAGTATCAACACTAATGAAGGCAGTAAAATTAATTGAAAACTCGAATAATAATCTCCTAGACGTGTGTAATCAAATAGTTTTGTATTTAGCGAAGATAAATATTATAGTCCCTAATAATAATATTTTGTCAGCGAAAAAATTCTGGGCTCCAGTGGTTATATACTGTAGAATCTAGAATCAACTCAAAGGGTAATATGCTAACTTGCACACTTACAAGGTCCTGCAGGTATAACATTAATACCAATCAAATAACTAGTAAATCGGCAATCGGCATAGGCAAATATAAGCCGTATAGTGATGTATATAAGGTATACATCAAAATAACAGGACATTATAATGTTTGGTTTCACAATTGGTCGCATTATACCTACTCGCCTACTGCTCCCTTTTAATAACTGCTAAACTTTAGGGCTACAATGCGCCATATTATCCTAATGAAAGTGAGTTTAACATTTCTGAATTATTACATCCTTGTCGTAGTCTACACAAAATGTGTAGAGTACGACACAAAATTCTTCTTCTTCTTAGTCCAACGACAATTATGCATTAGATTAATCCTAAAACTTGTGCTCAGAATTTATACAAAATGTTTTTTTTTAAGATATTACAATTTACAGTTCTATTTGCACAATATGCTCAATATTAAATGTAATTGAAACTAATATCCTTGTGAAAATTATGTTAGTGCACAGTATTTACAATTAGCAGTATATTTACATTATCTATTTAAATTCTCTCTCGCGATATTGTAGTTATAATTTGTAACTATTCATACATTGCTGTTTACATTTGCGCAAATAAATTAAAAAAATGTGTCTTATTAAGGTTTTGAATAATCGTCATAATTCTTTTTATATTAAAAATAATAACGTGGATTGAAGTTATAAATGCACATTTAACATTTAACTGACATACACAAATTGACAACGATTATATTTACAATCTTCTCCATGATTACTAAAATAAAATTTTAAAATTAAAATAAAAAGCTGAAATTAAGATATCAGTGAATAGATAGAACTTTACCGGAGAAAACTATTCCAACCAGGTTAATATGCGTTTTCTAATTGTTGTAATCTACAAAGGGCTTTCTTACTCTAGATTTCGTTGAACCTTTTACGTTATCTTCCAGACAAACGGTTCGCTCCGCGTCACGCTTCATTATACGTGGCCCCTACTAAACTCGTACAATGTTCGCTTATTTTCTAGGGCAGATGTGACCGGCACACTGCTACTTTAGCTTTCTTTATAACACACTATTCTATAACATGAGAGTGCACTCTTGTAGGTTCTGTAAGACTTTAGAAATAAGATTACTGTTTCAGAACCTATTTGTTCATTTGAATATTCCCATATATTCAATTCTTATCTGTATTAAATGTTTGGACAAGAAGTTTATAGTACTGTGAGCAGCCGGTGGGGAGATAGGTAGCTCTAAACTTTGAATAACGAGGGTTGACGTAACACTGTTTTAGAATCTAAGAGGAATGTCCAAAAACAGTTTCATGCGCTCGCCGATATCAACGATGGAGCGCTCGTCGAATTGCTAGCTATCATCTCCGGTATTTTCATCCTCATCGGGGTCATCTTCATCGAGCGGTTGGCTTGTCAGCGCAGCCCAGAGAGGCGAGCGGGCGCCGGGCTGCACTGAGCCACGTCGCTAGCTGTCTCGGTTACACACAGCCGTAGCTGCTGCTGTGCCCATTGCACCAACAGCTCCAAATATTATCGTTCCCACCTCGCGGTCAGGGGTTATCTCCACCTTAAAAAATAACACTCAATAAATATAACATTGTTTTAAATAAATTGAATGTATAGCACGCAGTAGACCAAAGTCAAAAATTACTATAATAGTGTACGTAGGTATCCTTGATGGGGCATTCAAAGCATTCATATATTTTGGTCTACCTTTATCTTAAACAATTTCTAGTAATAGCAGGAAAGTACAAAATTTTAGTACTTGTTGTAATTTTGTGCTTCTAAAATATAAATGTATATTCACAGTATTCGTGTCCTATCTGCAGATATTAATAGCGATCGCAATAAATTTATATGCCAGGCCTACGAAATAATTATACAAACACGTAAACTTGCTGAAGGTGTATTTCAAGGTTTATGTTTAGATTAAGTCAGGTGATTTTTGATTCGTAAATATGTTTAATGTTTTAATTTCAAAAGTTTTTGGACATAAAGTATTAGTGATACTTTGATACTTGATACTACAACTTTCTTTTTTAAACCTTTTTAAATTGCATGTTTCTTTTTTAATACATCGCTGAAGACGTAACAAAAGTAACAGGTTTATTTAATTTTTAATAAAATGTTTTTGATGTGTTTGTTCTAAATATATATGAAACGGTATTGATTCGTTTGGGTATTAGGTGAAGAGACATATCTATTATTCATTTATCGCGCTTTATAAAAGTTGTTTTTTTTTTAAATACTAGCTTTTACCCGAAACTCCGCCCGCGTGTATGTTAGTTATCGAGGTAAAAAGTACTTAAAAGCTTATGTTACTCGCTGACAATGTAGTTTTCCAGTGATGAAAGAAAATATAAAATCGGTTTAGTGGTTTAGGCGCTTAAGCGTAATAAACAAACAGACTTACATATTTATAACACGAGTATAAGTATGGATTTACATTACATAAAAAATAAACTTTCATTTACGTATTAATTTTTATTTTATTTTATTCGTTTGGCTATCGACTCGAAAGACCGAACAGTTTGAAGGCACCATTTCATAAAGGTTGTAACATTAAAAGAATTACATCAGCATTAACTCAATTGGATTACTTGAACACTAAGGTTTATGCCCTTAGTACGAGTCATAAAAGTGAGGCAGTAAAATTCATAATGGAGTACTGCCTGCAGTAGCTACATGTAAAACATGGCACGGAGAATTACAACGAAATTTGGACGAAAGTGAATTTCAATTACAACGTACCCAGATTGGATAGCTGCTTTTAAGCTACAAAACCATTTTAAGAAAAGTTCGTAAGAGAGTTTACAAAGTTTTAAAGCTAAAACGAAATTCTAAACAGAATTTAATTTTAACAAAATTTGTTTTAGACATTTTATCACTATGACATAACTGTGAAATAAAAAAGTTAATGGAGTCATTGAATCAATATTTTATATTAGCTTTAATGTCGATTATGTCAATCAACCTTCATGAATAGTATTGTTTCGAGATGAAAGGTACTATATATGTATGTATTATAACATTGGTATAATATTACAACCTTTTATTGAAGGAAAATATATATCAAACCATAATAAATATATAAACAAATATTGTAACTTGTGAATATCACTCTACACAAGTTAACTTTATTGACATTAACTAGCATGCAACACATATTCGTGTCTTTTTGAGAATTTGGATTCAGTCTTTCAGACGTATTATTAGTATTTAGAAAGAGTACGTATTATTAGTATTATTACCTAAAGTCGGTTATTAAACTTAGTTAACTGTTAAATAAAAACTTAGACATGATATGAGATCCAATTAGCTCTCTCAAAAGTTTTGTTTCATCCCTTGGCAACAGTACTTATTTCTAGATAAAAGGTACTAAGATATCATAACGATAGGTTAGTAAGTAAGGCACAAAAAAGCGTAACAAACAAACAAACTTACATTATCAATTCTAGTGTTAGGATTCGGACAAATGATAGTTTTGCCCTAATGATTTTTTTACGAGTTGACATAATAATACATTTATCACCCATAAATTTATTATTTCCTAGAGGTTTCCACGATTATTTATTTAGGTAATGGGATTCAAAATGCTGTAATAATTATATATGAGTTTTACTTGTGATACTGTTGTTTGTTCAGGGTCTGATCGTTCTTCAAGCACAGTGTCAAGTTCCAGAGTTGGTGGCGGTCGCGGTGAGCGCACCAAACTAACGGCACGCGGCCTCGCTTTTATCGGCGATAGCTTCACCACTGACAGCTCCCCGCGGTCCAATTCGCAATTGCGCCGCCTTGCACGTTCTCTGAAAATATTGTATAACATAAATCTTCAAATTCTCTAAAGCTGCAAATCTTGGTAGCCAATTGATCTAAAGCAATTTTTTTCTAAAATATATTCCTACAATTATTTAGTTGATTAATTACAATAAATATTTCGCCTATTTCGCCTATCATCATCATGAAATATTCCGCAGTTCTTGTACAAAGAAGGCGCTTCGTAATTCGAGGTTCATCTATACTATTTGGTGATGTAATGAGAAAATACTTAGTTTAATAAGTTGCTTTTTAGTGATTGTTTCATCATTGATATCTCATTTGTAATAATTACAATATACATTTTAGGCTATTAATATTTTTGCGTAGATATGACTGTGTATGTAAAAATATTCTTTTGGTATGACTAATAAGAGTAGGTATAAAAACTACACGGGTCAACTAGTAAAAAACTCTAAATTATTTCAGATCAGTTTTCTCCTTATAACCATTCAAAAGAAGGAAACAGTCAAACCGGTCCAGGCGTTTTAAAGTAATGCGATTGAGATGCGTGCAGTACCTAGTCATATCTAGAATACTAAACACTGGCAGCGTGCTTATTTTTGTGAGGCAATGTGATTGAGTCAGTAAATTTCATATTGAATTTAATTGTCAAGTGCATTGGGGTAAAACGTGAGTTTAAAAAGGTTTGAGTACAACAATTCTATTATATACTTATTTATTTTTGTTATATTCATGTCATGTGTCAGAATATATCTAAGTACATATATTATGAGTATTTTATTAGTTCTTACAATATTTTCATTTTGAAAATATGGACTGTCTTATGATTTATAGTTAATTATTATGACACTTATGCATACTACTCGTACATGTACTACTACATAGTACATATACATACTATGTATAAGTGCTAAACACTAAGTATAAACTAATATATATATACTAAGTGTGGTCATTTTCGTAAGAAGTAACCTAGGGAAAATTCTATTTCTCGGTACATTAATTACGTAGACAGCTTAACGATCAAATGGTAAGTGCGTTGAGATACACTCGTAAGTACCTTTTAGGCAATATCAAATTAAAGAGTTGGGCCCCAGACGAGTAATTTAAACAAAATATGAAAAGCCATTTAAGTGTATGCATTTTTTTACTATTATCCGTGTGGTGACGGATTAAGAATATGAAGTGTCACTATTATTATAAAGCATAAGCATTCAAAACATTTATTTTTGCGCCACGTGCGAGAAAACTCTTTTTTATACACCATTTTACAAGAAGTATGGGGCTTAAACTTCAGCTACATGGTACGTAAACCACATTAGACATGTAATTTTATGAAAAAAGGGCGGCCTTATTGCTAAGAGTAATCTCTTCCAGGCAACCTTAGGATGGATGAAAATGTTTCGGAGAGACAGAAGTGGTTGAAGGTGCTACTACAATCTTCACATATTACTTCACATCACTAGCACACACGCTCTTATTATATACTCACATACATTATATACTTAAAAAATAATGCTGTATTAAGTATTATACTAGGCTAGAGCCTCAGGCTGACAGTGTCAGGGTTGACAAGACTCGTGACAGACAGTTTCTAACCGTGCTTGCTTGAATACTTCTATATTTTTTTATAAAAATAATATAAGGGAGGTAAAGTAAAGCATGATTTCTTAACCTATGTACACCTAACTGTGTTAAATCATAAAACTACACGTTAAACTAAACGGTAAAAGAAGCCGTCTGCATGTATCTTATGTCAGTCACTTTGTTACTTTTCGCTGAAATAGATTTATTTTTATAAACAAATTTGGATGGCATTATTTATTAATCCAGTTCAGTTATAATGAGTAGAATTCAATAATATTAACTTAAGAAAATACTATAAAATTAAGAATAAAAGAATCTAATAGTGAATAATAAACAATCAGGCATCCTTCCTACACAATTTCAAACATGCAAAACATGCTGATTTGAGTTTTATGTGTTAACAAAAAGTGCCTTTGTTAGTTCTGAAGAAGGCCTCAAAGTGTTGTTTTAGGTCTATCGAACCTCAGCTAATTTACGAACAAAAATATTAAATTCATTTATCCATTTTGTAAGTCCAAATGGTTTGTAAACTTACTGCGTATATTCGCATTACAAACTGGCCCGAACAGATGTTAAGCGAGCCGAGGCTGTGACATTGTTAGCTCCTCAGCCGCAGTACTTTAAAAGCCATAAGCACTTTGCACTATTCATATTTGTTCAATTTTACTATTTAATTTTAACGACGACGATGTGATATTAATTTACAAGGATGTTGTTTTGTTAGTTAAATAGTGTTAAGATAACCATATGACTTTCAACAAACACTTTCATATTGAATGTTCTCTGAAATGTTCTATCACATAGAAGGGGAACCTCCAGAAGGTGGCTGAAATTATAGAACTATGCGTTTAACCGTTTAACCTTAGAAACGTAACTGGTTGTCAGTGTAATAAAACCGGAGTACTCTTGTACAACTGCCATGTCTACATTATTCTGGTGTATTGAAGAATACCATTATTTCTCTGGCGTCTAACATTTTCCTCCGGTTCGAGTAACAGGCTTAAGTCCTAGAAACAAGACTTACTTACTCACTTCAAATCACTGCCGAAATGTAGAAATATGATTGATTGTCATTTTCTGCCTTTAGTACAATACCTTTAGAACAGCCTTTCGTAGTCCACTGGCTAGACATAGGCTTCTCCTTTGAAATAAGATTTTGGCATACTATATTTATTACTATAACGGTTTACTTATGGATTATGGTTTATTTATTTATTTATCTCTATATTGTACACTATTGCAGTATTATTTGTACAGATATTTTATACATTTCGGTTTAACAATAGGCGGTCTTATCGCTCACGGCGATCTCTTACAGACAACCTTTATACGGATATTGTCAAAAAATTAGAGTAGCCTGCTACGTACTATTACGGTACAATATTTTCATACTAATATTTGAACCAAAATTATTTTGTTCTTGATATTCATGTATGTTTTTGTATTTTTTTTGTATGTAATTATTGTTTTGACCATACAATTTTACACAGCTCAAAATAGCCACAAGCTACCGTCTTGAAATTACATATTGAGTTGTGTAAATGACTTGAATACTGACAGTTACAACAATTGGTAACAGATATTCTGACACGAGCGCTAAAATATTTCTAGCTTCATCTCTCCATCTGAATAACAATCCTATTTACTGACATATTTTAGGAATGTAGGTTACTCTACTACTATTAGCACCGAATTATTATCCTCCTTATTGTACACAATAAAGAAATTAATGAGTAACGTACGTAGGTACATATTTAGAAGTGGTGAGTTATATGATTGGCGGCCTTATCGTTCTCTATCAAAATTTCATAAGAATTTATTTCCTTGGATTTCTTTTTAGATTATTATTTAATGTTTTAGATATTGTAGAATGACGGCAAGAGGACTCTTAATCATTGGATATGCCACCCTGACTTGCTCGGATTAAAGTTGACATTCCCCAATGATGATGAATGACAATGACATTTGACGACCGGATGGCGTAGTGGTTTGTGTAACGGACTGCTATTCCAAAGGTCGCGGGTTCGATTCCCGCTCAAGTCAAACATTTGTGTGCATGAACATTTGATGTTTAATTTTGGTCTGGGTGTTTCTATGTATAAAGTGTATGTATTTACAAAAAAAAAGTATATATGTATTTATATCAGTTGTCTAGTACCCATAGTACAAGCTCTGTTTAGTTTGGGACTAGATGGCGTTGTGTGTATGTGGTAGAATATTATTATTTTTATTCTCTTTATTTACTTTATATACATATTATTTACATTTTTAAACATACACCATATAAAAAAATACTAATATTATTATCATTAATATCCCTTTCTTATCAACACCTATTTTTCTTATCTACATTTTCTTTCAATACAATACCATTTTTCACATCTAATTCTCATGTTTGGTTGATGGCAATAGGTTTGCCTCCTATTACGGTAAGTGAAAAAAACAAAGGTTTTTTTTTAAAAAGACAACTTCCACATTAGGAATATTTTCTGTGTTGTGGAGAACTTTACAAACATACGTAAAACAGACACAAAGAACACCCAAACTAAGAAAAACAGTTCATGAATCACACAAAGTGTTGCGTCATGTGAGGATTGAACCGACAACACTCAGCTTAGTAGGAAGCAGCGAAGTGACCGCTTAAACCACTACGCCATCCGTGCGGTCACAGATGGCAAAATGTGGTCGTTTAATACGTCTCTGCCTACCCCTTTGGGATATATGCGTATGTATACAAAATTAGCCATATACCAATTACTTACCTAGCCAACTTTGCTCTCCTCCGCAGACAACAGATTACGGTGAGCGCTAACAATGGAAATCCAAATATACACGACACAATCGGCACTACAATCGATTCCGGAGTCACTGAAACAATGCAAAATTCAGATGATTTATTTCTCGTTTTCACGACGAATATAATATTAAATAGGTTTTTTAATGCAAAGTAGTCCAACAATGCTTTGAACCCACGAAAAATATATAAAAAATAAAGAAAATTACCAAGCATTCAAATATTGAAAGAAAAGTAATAAACAAGTTGAAAAACTAGCGCAGTTTTGGTCAATAAGCTTCATTTTCTTCCAAAAAACATTCTGAGTCATTTCTTAAACAGAAAAGTACGATAAATTTAGAGCAAATTGCCCTAAAGTAGGAACACTACACTCGTAACGCGGATCACAATAACGAAAGTTTACTAATAAAAGCAACTCGTATTACTGTTCGTATTTATATTGCATACAATGTTTACATTTCCCTCAGGTGCGGCTAAATGTAATTATAATAAATTAATTATTTATTGGAGTAACTAAAACTCAAAGATGTTAGTAACAATTTGAACTTACAGCTATATTAGAACGTTTTATAGTTTAAGATTAGTGCCTGATGCAATGAGTCATATATGGACAATCTAGTCTACTCGCAATCATGTTCAGTATGCTGTTGGAGCTAACCTACACGGATGCACACCGTCTTCGCGGTATACAGTACAATAGAGTATAAAGGTAAACAGTCAATTTAAACATGAACCTACGTTACTGTAGTAAAACTTTATGATTCATTTCATTTTAATGTTACTATAGTATGGTAGGGATTTTTTTTCTCGCGGGTTTTGAATTCAGTGATTCCATTGCGAAATATTAATATTTATTGAGCTAATTTTTGTCTTAGTATTAATATGCAGTTATTACTGATTTAATGTAAAAATCAACAGAACCCTATATTGCCCGTACTTGCCTGTTTAATTTTGCTATTGTACAAGGAAAAAAGTGATAGCTGAGTGCTGATTATTGAAAGAACACTTGGTTCGTTGCCAAAGATAAACAGATGATCAGTCTACGTGTATTAGGAAAAAATGAATACGCGGAAGAATAGTTTAAGACTACGAAGAATAGTGACCAAGTAAACGCGTATAAAGTATTTATATATTTTAATTTTTAATTTCTGAGACTTTTATTAGGTTTTTATTGTATTTTTCTATATTTATGTTTTACTCACAGAGCTTTTTGAACTTTAAGTTGATTTTAGAACTAGGTATATTAAAATTGTTTAAATGTAAATTCTTTTTATATTTTAACCTACCCGACAGGATTATTAGGATTTACTTTTTGATGACACCAATTGACCTTGCAACAATTGTAGAACTTTTAAAAAACAATACACAGAAAATAACAGTAGATGATACATTCAAATATATGAATATGCACAAATTATGTTAGTTATGAGATAACTTAATAATATATAATATTCAGTATTATACTTAACATTTTCATCATTTTCAAGTGACGCTAAAGAAATTTATGCTATGATTCTATGGCGGCAAAAACACACAGGTTTAAAAAATGTCATGAAAATATTACATTTTGTATCTATTTGAATAGGTGCATAAATGATTTAAAAATATTTAAAGCACTACAACTACTGAAATCATAATATTTATATAATGAAGTCCTTTCGCTTACTTTGACTTTATTTTCTTGTAATGGACTTTTAATGGTTTGGTCCAAGTCTCTTTTATTATGTATAAATCATTCATCAGCATTAGAAATTACTTATTATAGTTATTCAGCATTAAAAATCATTTGCAACCGCTCTGCATTCTCTAACGTACATGTCATGGAGAGTGCTCCGATGAATTGTTCGGAGTAATACCGATCGCAACTTTCCGCTATCGTTCCTCACGGAAAATTTTTCATCCCCACTACTTGGATAATTGGTATTCCACCACTGTGCGCTTTTCAAGACATTTTTTGTTTCGCACTACCAATCTGTGGAACAAGTTATCGGCTGCGGACCGATACGATCTTCAAACCTTCAAAAAAAGAGCGTACTCATAAAAACTCAAAAAATACGTTTCATAAAAAAAATCTCCGTACTTTTCCTTTCTTTCAAACAAACTTAATTCTAGATATGAGGAAAATCTGCCTATTCATGTGCTAATAGTACGTTTTCATCAATGGCCATCACGTGCACACCTTTTTTATTCATTATTGTTCAAATTTAACACCTGCGTTCAGTACGTAAAAGGGCCAACAAGGCCAATCTTAAGTCTTTAGTTACGTTTCTCTGAAAAATCACGGACTAATAACAAATAATACATAGATCTAATAAAAAAACCTATATATATATATAAACAAGTCTACCTTATACAGAAATCCGTCAATATATACATACACTTTACAATATTTGAAATCATGATTTACACCGTACCTTTGACGGAGATTCTTTTAGAAGCGCATGAAATTGCATTTTGTCTTTTATTACAACTAAATCATTAGAAAAGTCACATTTAATAACCGTAAAAAAAGCATTAGCACGGAACGCAAAAGTTTAAAAGTCAGTATGGATTGACATCATTATATTTTGTATCTTTTCCACACACAAGGAACGAAAGGTGCTTTCAGCCGAAAGGTTTACTACATATAATAAAATCACACCAGTTTAATCATATAAATATTGTATATGATATAATATATACCGTTTTATAATCATGGAAACTGCAAACTCTCGCGGCCATAACTTTATAAAAGAAATGAAGCTAAATAGAGATAAATATTTTTTTCTGAACTGACGCTAAAGTTCGTGAGTTCACCCGGAGCAGACAGTTAATTATTATTTTTTAATTTTCCAATTTCTTAGTTTACTTTTTGACTTGAATGCGGGAATAAGTTTCGCTAGATATACTGCTATGGAATTAAATCAATATATTATAGCTAAATCAATATATTCATACTTCCATACTAATATTATAAATAAGAAAGTGTGTTTGTATGTCTGTCTATCTGTTAGATCTTCACGCTTAGACAATGAAGATAACAACCGATTTAGATGAAATTTGGTATACAGATAGTTTGAGTTTGAGAGTAGGAAAGGACATAAGATAGTTTTTATCCGAGCACTCATCCTTTAAGGGAGGAGGGGGGAGGGGAAGGGGGGTGAAGTTTGTATAGGGTATTACGAACCGCTGAACCGATTTAGTTGAAATTTCATATTGAGGTAGTTTGATTTTGGAGGAAGGACATAGGCTACTATTTAATCCAATAACCGACATACACGTGGGCGGAGTCGCAGTGACTAGTTATATGCATATAACGAACATACAAGAGGTGGAGATTTAACATTCATTGCTCTATCCACATAATTGTTTGTAAAACAGCTGGCTCACTTTGAAATAAAAATAACATTAAGTTCATCATCATCATCATCATCAGCCTATCGCAGTCCACTGCTGAACATAGGCCTCTCCCATTGCATTAGACGGCAACTATAGATAATAATATAAATCATAGGATAGCAGTTAATGATAAGTCCTGTATTACGTACTTTTACATGTCATACTTTTTTACAGATATTATAATTCCGGAAAGCAAGATTTTTTTACGTAGAAAAGTACAAAAAACAGGTAACACAATCAGTTATGGGTTAGCATGAATTGTTTTTTTTCTATAGCTGTTAAAAATTTCTCCCTCACCCATTCTTTTGTTTTAAAAATAAGTGTAAGTCCTGATTTGCCTCAACTTGAAATATGATCCTTATAGCTATATTATGTGGTAACGTAGCTCTATGTAAATCCAATGTGGTACTTGTCATGTTGAACGTTAGCACCTGCAATAAATGCGCGACTCGTCTCTGATAAATAAGAGCATTAGTGAAGAAGACACCGCCTTTTTGTACTATTTCCCTTAAGAACATAGATAAAAGCAAAGTGGAAACATTCGCTTTTAATCCATCAGTGTGTATTTTTTGTTTGTCGGTACAGTACATCATTGTACCTACATTGTAAATTTTGTAAAACGTTGGTCGAATTAGGTAAAAAATCGACTTGCCAAACAATCTAGTTACTCATTTGTATCTGTTAAATTAAATAATATTAATTCTTATTAATATTGTATAATATTAATTCTTATTAATATCATTGTTATTAAAATAGCGCTAGCTTTGTCTTGCTAGCGCTATCTTAGATGAAAACATGACAGACAAACCTACATACAGAGATGAAAATGTTGATGTGTATATGATCAGAATCATTGACTGAATCGATTTAGTTAGTCTAGAATACAAAGCTCTATAACAGCGTAGCTAAAAAATTGAGATTTGTGATTTAAGGATCAGTTGTCGTCTTGCTATGAACCTAACGACGCTAAGAAATTTGAAAATATTTCTACGAGTACTATTAAAGAACTGAGTCGGTCGTATGAAGGATTTATCTTTTCCGAGTCTTTGAAAAATAAGACAGACCAACTTAAATCAAAACTTCAATTATATCAATATACACGGCTCAAAACGAAATGCAATGCGAGTCTCTCTAATTAGATATATAATTCTTATTACTTCAAACTAGAGATATTTGATCAGCATAAATATGGCGGTAACTCTTCTGTCCACTTTGTTTGTTGTTAATCATAATGTGATGCGAATTTCAAAGCCGTAAAAGTTTATATATATTTTAAGAAAGTGTTAATAGATAAGATAAGAAGGTGATAAAAGTTATTATCGGTATTTCTTCAAATTAAATTTAGCGTGTACCATAAATAGTAACATTATTTCACGAAGCACATAATTTTGAACGCATTTACATTACCTATTTTTCTATAGAACAAAAATAAACGGTCTATCTCGGAATGGGTAAAATGGATTATTGGATCGTGGCATTAAAGACTAGAGAGAGTACTATCACGACTTGTTTACAAAGCAGACAAAAGGATAAAAGTGTATTAATAAAAAGTATACTATTTGCAAACGTGCAAATTTGTACAAACACTATTTATTTCAAATTTCAACTTAGTTTTGACAATGTATTGAAATATATTGTTATCACTTTATGATGTCGTCTTGATGTTTTCATAGGTATATATTTTGTTTGGTTAATTCTGACCAAAATATTTCTAAAAAAAATAATTATATATAATATATATATATAGAAATTTAAAATACATACATTTAAGTTACAATTATATTTTTTTTTTTTTAAGTCAGATCATATAACCCGCCCCGCGTCGCTCCCGGTGCAAAGGTGCCCATGATACTGGCAGCATTGCCTCGCTGAATTGCAACGGACATTCTTTGCACCAGAAACGAGCCGGAGCGGGAGTCACCACTTTTTTCCCTAACTCGGCGACCAATCTCCGCAATTAACTTTTTAGCTTCTGACCCCCAACTGCCCAAAGTCTCCACCGCAATAGGCACAAAATAATAGTGCGTCTCCATTGCGGCGTATTTTGATCGCTTCCTACTAGCGGCATCCTCCGCCGCCGCCGCCGGGGCTTGGACGGTGCGACTCAGATGTGAGGCCGCGACTGTGCTAACGCATGTGGCGTCCCATACCAAGCACTTGCCGTTTTTCCACGGCAAGCCATCCGGCCGCTTCCCGTCAGATCTGCTAAGACCCGATAGCTCCAGCACGCAGGGTACATTGGCGGATATAAGAGCCCTTCGGACTATGTCATTTAGGGCATGGTGTCGCGAAAATCTACCTGCGCAGCGACGACAACTCAGTGCATGAAGACCATCGGCCCCCACCATGGAACCGCAGGTGCATCTATGTGGTTCGCACACCCTGCAGCCCAGGCGGAGAGCCACTGCCACACGCAAAGAGTCGCCGTCTAGCAAGGTACCCAAGTGAGGCGATGGGAGTGCATGTAACCATGCCCTTGACTCTGGCTGCGATACGGCCCTCAGTCTTGCCAGATCGGTACCCCCAGCGGTATCCAACATTTGTTTAAGGAGTCCCTTAGCTCCAATGTCATCCCATGCTCGCTGGACGTGTAGGGTCACTGGAAATGGCTCACCTGCGTTGACGGCTGACCATGCCGATACCGCCTCGGACACATAAGGTATGCTCGCCCTATCACCATTTGGAGAAAGTGTGACAGCGACAAGGTCCGCAACCCCATGCGCCGACGCTAGGAAGGCTGGCAAGCCAACATCCAGCACACGCCGTAATCCGAGACCCCCATATCTTATTGGCAGAGCTGCCTGGATCCACTGGTGCTCATCAAGGGAGACGTTAAGGATCGACTCAGCAGTATCTCTTAAAGCACCGTCGAACAAAGAGACAGCCTCCGGACAAAGCCAGGTTGGAGTAGTCCGCAATAAGTACGTGATTTTAGGAACCGCGAAACACATACGAAGCAGCAGAACCGCAACATGAGGAGAAAGATGCTTTAAACGTTCCCGAGTGGCAAGGAGAATATTTTGACGGGCAGCAATGGCCTCAGGGACTGCCTCAAGGAAAATGGGAGAGCCCAATAGGCTGAAGGTACCTGGTGTGATCTCGCTGAGGCCAGGAAAGAACATTTCAAAGTGTGTAAAGTGTGTGCGAGCTTCAGTACTGCAGGGGAAAAACTCGCACTTCGCTGGATTCACCTCCAAACCTAGCTCCTTGAGGCGTGGGTGACCTTGAGTGGGTCCTTGAGGTGACATATATATATATATATATATATATATATGTAAAGAGTACTCAAAGAGTAGTCCCTAAACCTATACCTGGGTCGCAAGTCCCAGGCGCTGTCGAAGTCGAATGTGTTGCCCCTATCTATCACGCGATGGGCCCACGGAACGCTAAGAAATGGGTCTTTGTGTTGAAAGTGATGTTTTTTGTTGTGGATTGAAGAAAATCTCTAATATATGTTTAGAACTTTTTTTTGAATTTCGAATAAAGTACAAAAGTTCCTGAAACCTAACTTTTCGTAGCCAGGTTTAATTTTTTGTATACAATATTTCTAACGTCTTCCAAAGCAGATTCATTGAAGTTGTTCGATAAAGTTTTTATTAATTGTTCGAAGTTACTCTTGTCAAGTCAAGACAGTCATTAGATACGCTCCAAGTTCTAAATACAGTGTAACGAAAGATGTACTACGCTTTCGAGTCAGCAAGATGTACGGCATATATCTGTGTAGATAATGACCATTAATCTGTAACTGTTCGGTAAGGAGGGTCTCAATTTTTAATCGTCTAATTCTTTGCTGATTAAGGACGGCTTGAGATTTATAATGATTTCCTTTTACTAAGGTTAGTTCTTTCAAGATTTATCTAAAGCAGATTTTATACATGAAACTAATAACTTGCAGATCTACAACTTTCATGCCAAGTTTAAACTTACATAACAAAGAAGGTTGTTGTTTGCCTAAAGGCAAAATGTGGCGGTTGATGATATATTATGTTCTATAGTTGAAGTGGCGTTCGCGCCTGATTTATTTATTCGATATTACTCCATGCCGCCGCAAGTAAATATTTGGCTATGTTATTTTCATTTCAATTTTGTTTTCGAATACCAAAATGTTATATAATATATATAACACAGAATGCCTAGTGCAGGAGCTGAATTTTTTGTTTTGAAGTTATCTATAAAAGTTTTAAAATAAATGGAATAAATCTTTAGATTTGGCAAGTAAACCGCCTCTGTATACAGTTACTACTAAAACTACCTAAAATATTACTTACTCTTAGCACTACATACATTTAAATATGTCATTTCCGCCTTGTTAGTCCCGCCTTTCATCGCTAACTTATAGTACTACAGAAGGCTCCGAGGTATTGTCAGAAAGCATAAAAGCCGTGGGAATAGAACGGATCAATTCACAAACTGCTCATCCTTTGATACAAAAGGGTTATAAGGCGTAAATGTGACGTTTCTACAGTTTTTTATGTGTGAAACGTATCCTAAAACTAGTGTAAAAACTGATGTTAACATCCACAACTGACATACTTAACTTGTCTTGTAGGTAATCAACATACAATAAATCATCTAAACGGTAAAACATTTATAATACGTACACTAGGCGCCGCCGTATAAAGATAAATTATAAGTCTTCTTGGCTCGGAAGGCCAGCTTCTCTCGATAATCGTCTGCTTATTGTCAATACGAAATAAGAAGAAATTCTTGACATTGTTTATAGGTAATTCATTGTTTTCTTCGTGGAAGAACTATATTTGATTGTGATTGATGTTTGAAGCGAACAGGTGGCAATATTATAAGTCATGTTTATCAAAATCACTTACCTACTTTGACGAAATGTTTATAACTAAAATTTGGAAGTTTATGAAGCTTACTATCCAAAACAAATAGCTTATTATTTTCGTATGAAGGTGGCCTTAAACATATCTAAAGCATTGTTTTGTTTGTAGAACAAAATAACCATAGGGAAAGCTGGTTTTCTATATGTATCTTATATAAAAGAAGAAGTTTTTCTTACATTAATGCATGCATGCAGTCTGTTTATTGTTGACGTTTTTATTTGTCTATCTACTAACCATATTTTTCTCACCTGTAGGATATATGATGATAGCCGTTGGTCTCTTGTTGTTGGCGTTAGGTTTCGGTGCAGGAGTACCGACGGTAGCTGTGCTCGGTGTAGTAGGAGAGGGAGTACTGTTAGCGAACCGTTCCAACAGCCGCAATGGCTGCGAGGTAGTTCTCGTCATCTCGAAGCTTTACCCTACAAGTTAAAGAGATTATAATTGAGTATTAAAATCATCAGTTTTAAAATGAAACATGAAAATTCTTCATTACCCACCAGTATAGGAATATGAATGGATATTTTATACACAAAATGCCTAGTGACCGGCGTCATCACAACAAGCAATATATTTCAGGCAACCTTTGACGGGAGTGTAATGATTTAACGTCGATTATGATCGATTGTGAGGTGTCAAAGATTCCAAGAAGGATATTTAATATGAAAGTAATTATAAAATCTATAAATATATCATATAATATGTACAATATGTGCTGATTTATAAAAAAAAACAGTTTTTAAGTGTTTTACAAAACGGCACGCTTCTGGTTTTAAGAAATCGTAGCTCTAACTATTATACCCGTATGTTTGTAAAATGCTCAAAAGTACTAACTGTTTAATCTTATCACTCTCTACAATCTGTTACTTCTCAAAAGTTATTTACAACAAACCCTAGAACTTATTATCGGTATACATACTGGGTACGTGTAAAATTACCCTCATCTATTTTAATGACTTATTACTAGCCCAGTAGTACCAAACTGTAAGTACGACTTTATTGTGTACATAGTAAGCTAAACAGTTATAAAGGTCAGGTCTACTAAAGGTAGAAACTCAAATATATGTTGGTTATATAATGACGTCTGTTTAAACTCTGTGGTAACTAATTTTATTAATAAAAACAAAACGGAACGAATCCATATAATGTTTATCTTTAAATGTTTAGATGGGTCTGTTTTATATCATGTAGTCTTTGAATTTTTAAAGGATTATCGTGGGTTGATTAGTTTATACTTAGTTATAGTTACTTGACTAATGTAATCTTAGATCATTAATTTGTAGATATACCGCTATAAAAGCTGTAAAAGCGTTCAGAGACTATATTATTCCAATTGTTGGCCACCATATATAATAATATATGTTTATTTAAATTTAAAAACTTATTCCAATGCTCAATTACTTCTGTCAAACTGCACAGCAGTTTGTTGGCAGACGTAGCTCCCATTTTATCATATTACATTATTTTAACTATTGTTATTAAACTCTTTATTTTAATTTAACAATTAAATTACCATATCCTTTTTACAAGAAAAAAAAACATCCACATTTACAGTATAGACTTTTAATCAAATCAATTAAAATTACCTAAAAATTACCTAGTGATTAGTTATTTTTAACAAAAATACTTAAGTATTATAACTATACTTTAGGTTCCTGTCATGTTTTCAATGATCACATTTAGAAGAAACTTTGTTACTTTGTATTTAAACGACAGTTTTGAAGTAGAAGCACTTTCTATGTCTGTAGGTAAATTGTTACATATAGTTGGTACTAAATATTTATTGCATCTTTGGCCATAATAATTATGGCAAGTGGGCACCTCAAACGTCCCTGACTTTATACTCTTGGTGGAACTCAGCTGTGTTGTCGCTATCACTATAAACGCTTGATTTGCACGCGTTCGAGTATAAATTTTCACGCGCAACAGCATAGCTTTGCACGCACACGAACATAATAAAGTTGGCCCGTTTGTTTTAGCTGGTTCGTAGTGCGACACTTTATTGAGAAAAATAAATGTTTAATATGAGGTTAAGTCTACAGGATCGCTTATAACAGTAGCGGATTCCAAGTTTTCCTGCGATTGACCTGAATGTCGGACACTATGTCGAATGTAAACACCGTTCATTTTTTATAAATTAAATTTTGACATAACCGCTTTATATCGTCTTCACACAGAGGAGTCCGGAGGGTTTCAACGTGGATTCTCAATTTTTGTATAGTCTATTGTATTCCCACATTTGATAGCAGTGCAAAAAAGCTACATTTTTGTTAAAAATGAGTTCTTTTTTCATTTTATTTTAATACTTTATGAAAGTATGGGTTGTACAATGGCAGACTTAATGCCACATGCATACATACATAAACCTTCATATTGATAATATATAAAACTTTAAGGTTGTAATGAATCTGTTAGGGTGTCCAGAATGAGAGCTCGAACTTTTATCTTGAATGAGAGGCGTCTGGATCTTATACTGATTGCCGGAGGAATGAGTTCGTTCAGATAAATTAAATTTAAAAATAGACACATTCTAATGTTGAGCTTACGTTTAACCGATTTATATCAGTAATGTAAGTGAGAGTTAAAATTAAAGACAATTTTTTTACCATCGGCAGCCGGTAATTTTTTGAAGAGGTAGGCACTGAATTGCTACGAATGCTACGCTTTAAATTTTCAACTTAATTCATAAATATGTACTTTTACAGTTGTGTAACGTAGATAATGCTACGTATTATGTAGTATTATTACGTGTTATGTAACTGTTGTGTTCTATCTTATCATGTCTTAAAGCATTTTTAAAGTGCTGTCAATAAAATTAGCCTTCGCTGTTGAGGTTTTGCGGTCTCTCGATTTATTTGGAGCGTTGGATATGACCTCCCACAGATATCGATCATTCGCTCTAAATTTGCCCAGTAACCGATTGAAGAAGCCCTCCAAAGCGTAGGGAGGAATAAAACATGTGTCAAATACTAGTAGGAAGTTGCACAGATATCTAATATGTTTGAATTTATTTAGAAACGATTGTCTGGAAAATACTAAACGATAAAAGAATTTGAAACGTTGCGATTTGATTGATCATAAAAAGAATATGTACATTTGTTTAATAGTGAAACCACACACACCGTGTAACGTTAGTGTTTTCGTTTACGTTAAGTACTAAATGAAAAAGACTGAGATATATAATTTTAGTAAGTCAATAACCTCTACAATTTAATGACATAGCTATAAATAGTTTGAAAATTACTGGTTTGGAGAAGGGTATCGTCTCCAAACCAGTAATAGTTGGGTACCTTTATTAAAGATTGACTACATCGCATCTGATTAATTTATGGAATTATGGAGCAACAGAAGGTCAATTATGCGTTTATGAAATGATATTCCAGAGACTTGTCATTTCAAATTTGGGTAGCTGCTATTTAATAATATATTCAAATTGTCTTGGACTAGTTTAGAATCACTAAATAGGTTCATAATTTTTAGATCATAGATACAACAGACATATTGTAAAAGCATCACACGATATTTAATATCGTTAATAACGTCACCGAAGTTCCTTCACCGACTAAACAAAGGATTCCCAAAATATTTTAGGCAAGATACCCCTTTTTTAAAATGAACTGATACCTCAGACCTCTTTTTTTTTTTCCGTGCGGAAATCCCCTCGGATACCATCTGTCGGTGGCATGTCGGACTCGAACCGACTAAAACCGCACGCCGTCTCGGGTACTAATAGCCGGGGAACCAGGTATACCCTAGAAAGGAAGCCCCTGGTGAACCTCAGACCCTTAAAGCCAAATTACTGTTCGCTTATCGACTTGTTGAGTTTTTTAAAAGTACAATAATGATACTTCCTATTAAAATATTAGTAATTCTTATAACGAATTGGTACACGTAACACAACTAATACAGTATCTTGAAAGTTTCAAATTAGAACTTGTGGAAATTAATAGGGGTCGATTTTTAGATCTTGTTGACCCACAAAATCAGTTTTCCTTTGTTTCGACCCCTGGGAAGCCGATTTCGATACCAAGGGGTCGATATTCACCACTTTGGGAATCCCTGGACTAAATCTAATATATACTGGTGTATTTCTCTGAAGGTAAAATATTGGTGGTGGTGTATTACACTCGCACATTTTGCCCACTATATGTATCTACGTTCCTTCGTTATAACGAGGGTGAGGTTATCGCCGTCTGCCGGACACATTTTCAGACTCCGTTTTCCTTTCGTTTCAGTAGTTGAATTATTTATTCACAGCGCTTCAGGCAATATATTAGCTATAGAGTAGTTAGCTCTCTTGAGCCTAACCTTACATATGTATTAAAAAGGTAAAAAAGATTTTTTCCATCCATTTTTTTGTTGTGTCGTGTGTTTTTTTTGTTGTTAACAAATTTTATTGTGTTAATCACACATACGAATTTCAAAATATCGATTTTCATAATTCCAAATTGATCATTCATGCTATTTTTATAATTCAATACTCCGAACGTTTATAATTGCTATGCTATAATATATATATATATATATATATTGCTACGCAAAGGCACAACCGTATTATCATCCTTTAGAAGTAGTAATGATATTATAACTTCTTAAAATCTGTCGTAAAAAGGACACTATAAAACTGGGTTAAAATTTAATTCAAAAATAAGAAATCTAGAAAGTACTGCATCAGTGTTCCTTAATTTTGGTACTTATGTACTCTAAAGAACTTCTAGCAGACATGCTACTAGATTCAATACAAGTACTCATACAACAAATGGTTTCCAAACAATAAAGACAATAATACAGTCACTATAGAATGTTGTTGGCTTACTAATTAGGTAGCAATTAGATTTCACCACTTTTTGCGTCAAAAGAACGACGTGACTTTTTTAGCATGTTGGCGGGATAACACATTCGGCTGTTGAATTTTTCAGTAGGGACAATGTGCAAGAACTTTATGTTTTACTCATACATATCATTTTGTATCTACATTTGAGGTAATACTCGTACATACTCAAAACAATAAGTGTGTGCAGCTATGTTTACGTCCCCAGCCAAATTTACCTTCGACTTCACGAGCGTCAATCAGTTTTGTTGTAAATGCAAATATTGGATCAGAACCGTCCATTGATTTTCATTTACTATGTACATCGAATCCCTGATGAACGGTTGTACTGAAATGTATTTGTAACTGTGCGTCATTGCTGAATAATTACCGCTACTTGAATTATGTTTGTGTAAATGGTTAGAGGGGATTTTGTATAGGCGTATAGGATGGTATAAAATGGGGACATAAAAGTGTGTCCCAGTGGCGGTCAAATTGTTTGTTTTACGTAATGAATCATTATGCTATGTCATGACATTATGAGGATTAATAGCCTTTTTTTTTGACCAGAAAGCCACCGTCTGAATTTTAAATTGAA